CAAAACCTCCATCAACCCCTCGATCGAAGATCCATCAAATTTCAGACATTAAAGTGACCATTATACCCTTCATATAAAAGGATTCTGAATAGACTATCCTTGTGAATAGGGTGGTAAGGCAACATGTGGGGGGTCTCCATGAAGGACAAAGGAAAGCCGCTAGGGTTTGATTTACACTAGGGAAGGGAATCTTGGATTCAGTGTCAGTTGTCAGGGAACACTGTTAGGGTTTCGCTATGTGTCTTATGGGATATCTCAAGGATAAGGTTTCCTTGAGACCTGAGGATTCTCATAATACGCATATGCTACTTCCTTTTGCAAGTCTCTTAGACTAACATGGCGTGGGAGACGTTAATTCTTATCTAACGTGTCTTTTCTAATCCTACTAGGCGTTCTGTCATGTGCATTATTAATGAAGCACGTGTTTCTTTGCTTGTGTCTGTCTCGCGATGAACTTGAGCTCATCACAGGCTTGGAACTCATCGCAGACTTATAGTGGCTCATGCTCAATGCACGTAAGCAATGAATCTAAGTTCTTTGCAACCTCGTGATGGATTTAAGTTCATTGCAATCTTGTGTAGACTCAGAGCTCATCGTAGGTTTGTGCCGAATCTTGAACTTGCCACAGGTACCTTTGTAGCCGCATCCTCTGAGATACTAACATTGTGGTGACCATGATGTACCTACAATTAKCCCACCTACTTATTGGTAAGTGGGAGCTTACCAATAAGAATTTGCGTTGTTGGGTTTGCTTTGGAGGTTTGTAATAGGGTGATGGGTATAGAGTACCGTGGATGTTGTGGCACCTTGTGTTTGTGATTTTTCGTGGCTTATAGTGAATGGGGTCCCTTGGTCTGGGGTGTGTATTCGATGTGTTGGGTCTGGTGGTTGTTCTTGTTCCTGGTTGGGGTAGGTTATTATCTCCCCTGCTTATTGGTAAGCGTGACATTTCTGTTTTGCTATATTTTATTGCCATTTGGTTGACAAGGGGGGTAATTACATTGGTTATTTGGTCATTTGGATTGGTTGTGCTGATTTTCTCAGCCCCCTTGTCTTTTGACATGGTGCTTTCTATCGAGAGGTAGTTCAATATTAGGTCGTTTGGCAAAGTTCTCAGCCCCCTGCATCTCGATTGAAAATAGCTTGTTAAAAGACAACTACTGGCTAGTAGTTTGCTTTCCAAACCCCCTGTTATTGTCAAGAGATTTGTTGACAGGGTAGGATGTCTTGGTAATTTGATTTTTAGCCCCCTTGTTTCTCGATAGAAAATGCTTTGCCAAAGACAATTGATTTTGTGGTTTTGATTTCCAGCCCCTGTCTTTGGTAGAGTACTTTTTATTCGTGAAATATGTTCGGGGATTTGAAAATTTGGGCAAGGCTTTCAACGCCCCTTTGTGTTGGTAGGCATGCCTAATTCGCTATTGTTCTGTTTTTGCAAGAATTAATTGGGGAATTTAGGGGGTTTTTGCATTCTCGTGCTAATTGATGGCGGTGAGATTGGTCGTTATGTGTGTGGTGTTGTTTACTTCATGTCTCTCGCATAATTGTCGAATCACATTTGGAACAACGTGTGATCTGGGATTGGTTGTTAACTTTTGTAAAGTGGCATCCTGCTGACATGGCAGTCCTTTTAAATTTGTCTGCCGATTGTCCCACTTTTTTGGGGGTAATTTCATAATTAATATGGGCCTTCCTTTTTGGATGAGTGGCTATGGGAGATTGGTAATCATTCTATTCAGTCTTCCATGGCATCGTTTGGACTTCCAGATTCGTGTGAGGTTTCTATAAGAGGGCAATGCTTGGGAAGATTTTGTGCTTTCTGTTTGCATTCCTACTATGTGTCCGTTGTACTTTCTATGTTCAGTTCAGTTCATCTCTCTTTCTAACTTCCCTCATTCTTTCATTTCTTCAAACTTATACATGGTAATAGCTCCTCGTGCTTAGAAGAAGTCTAAGCGTCCTTTTGTCGACTTTGTCAGAGTCGTAGATACTACGGATATGCTCTTAGAGCGTGAGGCTACAAAAATGGCTGATGGTGAAAAGGGTTTCTAGCCCCTATGCCAATGTCGAGGGGCAAAGGAGGGGACTTTGATGCCATAGAGGGCAAGGAATTAATGTGTTTATATGACTGTTTGAGTTGTTTCGTGTCATTCCGGTGCCATGAACTGAAAACTGATGATTCGAGGTCACCGGTGAACTACTCTAGTTGGGCACGCTTCATTTTGGACCGGTGAACTACTCTAGTTGGGCACGCTTCATTTTGGAAAACCCTATGTTCTGCCAGTTACTTTGAGATTCTGGTCTTCTTCGTTTTATTGATCGTTTTATGGATATTCCCAGCAAGGAAGGGGTCAGAAGTCTCTTCTAGAGCATTGGTGCTGCCATGCTCATACTTTCGTGGGTGCGTTTGGTGAGTTTGGTATCACCGTTGAGGATGTTGCCGCTCTACTGGATCTTCCAGTGGGAGTAGTAGTAGTTGTGCAACATTTGTAGTTTGCGGAGTTGCTTCCTACCAATCTATCCGATTTGTGTGCGGAGCTTACAGAGGAGATCCACGTATTCAAATCTCAAGTGGATGCGTCTACGACCCATGGGAAGTGGTCGCTGGAGGCAAGGATAGCATACTGGTTTGAGAGAAAGGGCACATGTGACGTCATGGTTTGAAAGGGAGACCACCAATGTCATCTTGCAGCATTCATCCTGTACGTTGCATCTCGGTTCCTGTTCCCCAATAACCTGGATTATGGTCTTTGCACGGTGTTGGTTCCCCTCTCTATGCTTGCAGTCGATGGATATCAATTTCTCTTGGCCTCGATGTTCTTGGGCTACTTATTTGACCAAATGGATGACACCGTTCATCAAATGATGGATCCGAGCTATAAGCGGCAATGTTCGTATGTATTCTCTCCTTTTTTGTTCATGTTTATTTGTGAGCTGTTTCAACTTAGCATTACTCCCCGTCGGTTGTCTCCTATGAACGTCACTTTTGCAACTCTGGAGGGGGATCAGACCGAAGAACAGTCTTTGGGTGTTTGCTGAGGAAAGCAGTGGCTCGGTGCCAAGAGTCTTAAGTAGTTTGGGGTTGCAGATATAGAGTTGAAGTTGTCTTCTCTTGACGGTTTTGTTTTGAGGTTGTATGTTCAAGTTGTTCACCACTCCATGCCATTATGCATTGGTGCCAATGTTCCTGAGGATGGCATCCAATAGTGCGCTATCGATCCCACCCATCCTCTCGCTCGTATGGCACACCTTATCCTCTAGCCTAGAGTCATCGCATATCTTGATCGTGCCGGGGAGGTGCAAGTGACAACCTACGTCTTGACAGGCTTCTTCGTCAGTTCGGTTACGATGATATGGGATTGCAATTTTTGTGGTCCAAAGGTGAGGATGTTTTTTGGAATCTCCGAAATAACCTGGCATTTCCTAGCGTTTCTCGCTTCCCTCTAGCCAGGTTTAAGAGGGTCAAAGTTTGCAAGTCCTTGCACTGGAGCTATCTATGCTCTTTTCTTGGTTGGTTGTAGGGCTGTTCATGGGTTGAGTTGGGTCGGTTTACTAGGGTTTTCCCAACCGACCCGACCTGGTCGGGTTACCTGAGGTGGAAAACGAAACTGACCCACTGATAGGCAAAACCGACCTGGTCGGTTTGAGTCGGGTTGGGTCGGTTTCGGTTTTACTCCTGTACAAAAAGGACAGAGAAGCCTAGAACTAGAAGGAAATTTATTTGAGAAGATGGGAGAGCTGGGAGAGCCAAGTTCAAAAATCAAATGATGTCTTGAATTGAGGACTTGAGGGGGGCGGACCAAGTTAGAGAATAGAAGAGAAGACAAAAGTTATCAATAAAATAGAAAGTCAATCTGTTTTATAGAAAGAAGGCTGGAATATTTATATTTCAAGAAACTTTCTAAATCCTAATCTAGGTAAAAAAGGACACCTAATTCTAATTGTAATTGCCTAATGGGTTACCTATTTGGTGTAAAAGACTATAGAAACTAGGATAAATACAATTTAGGTAAAAAAGGACACCTAAATCTAATAGAAGACAAAAGTTATCAATAAAATAGAAAGTCAAACTGTTTTATAGAAAGAAGGCTGAAATATTTATATTTCAAGAAACTTTCTAAATTCTAATCTAGGTAAAAAATGACACCTAATTCTAATTGTAATTGCCTAATGGGTTGCCTATTTGGTGTAAAAGACTATAGAAACTAGGATAGATACAATTTAGGTAAAAAATGACACCTAATTCTAATTGTAATTGCCTAATGGGTGTAAAAGACTAGAAACTAGGATAGATACAATTTAGTTAAGTAGGAACTTGAAGACTAGTTAAGTAGGAACTACCGAACTAGAAGACTAATTGGTTCAATTCAATTCGGGTCGATTTCGATTTTCACACAAGAAAACCAAAACCGACCCGATATATCGATTTATGAATTTGTCCAACCTGAAACCGACCGGTGCTGATGAAAACCCAGCCGACTCGGGTTGGGCCGGTCCGGGTTGGTCAGTTTGGTCGGGTTGGGCCTTCTTATGAACAGCCCTAGTTGGTTGCAACCTTTTATAGTTGCTGATCCCCATCCCTGCCATGTGATGGCCCCACCACCGAGTCATGCAGCCGAACAAGAAGAGGGGAAAACCCTTCCCAACCTGGTGTCTGTTAGGTCCCAATCAGATTCATGGCAAACCAGAAATAAGACTTTCTTTTGGTGAAAGATAGACCAATTGAGAGAGAATAATTCTGCTTGCCCATTCCAGCTAGAGTGATTACATCAATACTAGTTCACGTAACAACTTACTCCTAAATGCTAGCTACTGACCTAGACTCTAGGAAACAGACTCAAAGTAAATCAATGTAATAACTTATTCCTAAATACTAGCTAACTGACCTTGACAAAGTCATGGTAATGCTGACAAATTCAAATCATAACAAATATAACAAAAACTGAAATAACAGAACTTCAACAAATAGCTAGCCGTTTGTTGAACCGATGCTGACCAAGTCAATCCAGGAACTTGGGATTCTTCTTAGGAGGACGCAACGACCTTCTGGGTCTATCAATACTTTCCCTGCCCGGAGGAACCTTGTTCTCAAGGTTCAATGCAGGAAATTGTTTTTGGAGAAGCATTGTAGTTTCCCAAGTAGCATCTTCAATGGGCAATTGTTTCCATTTAACTAAATATTCTTGTAAGAACTTAGAGCCCTGCTTTATCCAACATACATCTAAAATCTTCTCTGGTTCAATCTGGATAAATCCTTCATCAGAAAGTGGTGGCAACTCAACAGTAGCAGGTAAGGGAGTCCCAACAAATTTCTTTAAGAGTGAAACATGAAAAACAGGGTGTATTTTGGCTTCCAAAGGTAAAGACAGTTTATAAGCCACTTTGCCCAGTTTTTGTTCAATCTTAAAAGGGCCATAGAACTGACTGGCAAGCTTGTGATGAGCATGCTTATGAAGGGATGAGATATCCATCGTATGGACGCCTGAATCTTGCGGAATAGAATGGGCGAATTTCAAAAAAAAATTCTCTCAATCCTATTGGGAATTGTATTCCCTATTTTAGAAAAATCATATTTTTCAAGGATCAATTTTGAACCAAGAACCGAACCGGATCTGAACAAAAGCAGTAGGAGAGGGATATACCTGATACAAAGAAATAATATCTCCCAATGGAGGTGTTCACACCCAAGGAAGGAACCAAAGACTGCTCCCACTGAAGATGGTGTAATGCAGGATGGAGCAGAATCARCAGCATTGTTCACAAGAACCAGATCCTTCGCAAGAATCAGCTGGATGGCACGCGAGCACTACTTCCAATCAGCCCTTTCACAAAGGACTGATATCAAGATCCAATCTTGATCACTCCTACTGACAAGAGGAGATCAAACTGGCAGAAATGGCGGCGACAGGAAGGAGGCGATGAGAGATATTGCGCAGTAAAGCTGAATTCTCTCTTTTGTGATTTCAGCACTGAAGCCAAGATGTGAAGTGTGTCAAAAGGCTGCTGCCCCCTCCTCCTTTTATAACCTTAAAGGGATCAGCTCCTAATCCCATTAGGAGTTGTTGATCCAAATCATATTTGGATCAGAATTCCCTTTAAGTGATAAGGGTAAACCCTTATCTTATCTGCAGATTGGATCAACCTTCTCCTAATATCATTTAGATCTGGACTCTCTAAGTGGATAGGGTTAAGACCCAATCCTATCTGCTAATCCAATCTCAGAATTCACCTCTTATTTAACTGATCAAATCAACCCAATTCGAAATGGGCTTTAGGCCCAATAAGATTATGTGCTCGTTTAGCTTTCCAAATTGCTGCCCAGTTGGGCTTCCTTGTATGGCGTGAGACCCAAACATTGATCTACACATCAGCCACATGGGTTCAGCCCAGCCTTTGTTACAAGGCCTGGCCGAATACACTGTTA